GGGCTCCATGGCCTGCTAGGAGTGGACACAGACCAGAATCAGTAACAGGAGCCACTGGCTCTAACATACAGCAGCATCAGCACCATCAGAGACGGTTCCCAAGAGCTGGGCAAGGGGCCGATGGATGGGATCGGGGCTTAGACCATGGGCTGCTCTTCGGGAGGATGGGGTCTTTGTCCTCAGCACCGTCGTCAGGCGGCTTATCGCTGCCTGCAACTCCAACTCCAAGGGCTCCCACACCGTCGTCTGGCCCATCAGGCACACACACAGAGACAGGCACAGAACACTTTTAAAATACTTTAAAATCAAGTCGAGAACTGACTAATCAAGGATGGGACCCCCATCCCCCCCACATCCCAGAGCAAGTACAGCCAAGCAGGGCTGAGACTCTCCTGTGACCCACAGATGACATCCTAAGCATCTTCTCCAGTGGGCCAAGGTTTCAATAGAGTTGTTTTAAACAGTGACGTCAAGACCAGGGCATACAGCTAACGATGCACAGCCTTATCCAGAAATCCAGACTAAAGACAGCCTGGGCCCATCTTGTTCCTGGGTTAAACCGCTCATAATCACTCAGGCCCCGGAGCCACAGTGATGGCATTTCAGGAGAGGTCGGAGGCCTGTGAGAGGAAGGATGGCAGACACAGTTCTAGGCTGTCGTCTCTCTCACAAGTCATCTGCACGAAGTCCCAGTTCTCTCTCTCTCTCTCTCTCTCTCTCTCTCTCTCTCTCTCTCTCTCTCACACACACACACACACACACACACACCCCTTCTGACTTCCACACACTTCACTGCCCACACGGACTCTGTGCGGAAAGCCCAGCAACTTGCCAAAGTGCAGTCTCCCAATCAACACCGGGACACCTTTGCAGCTTGTTTTAGTTTTTCTGCCCCTGACGGGTTTAACGCCTCCTCAGAGCCTCCACTCCGAGGCTTCTCTTGGCACCCACTGGACTTTCAACAGTTCCCCCAAGCGCTCCTTGCTCTCCTTTCCCGGGGAGTCCATAAAAAAAAAAAAGAAAAAGAAAAAGAAATGCCAACAGATCCACCACGCTCTCAAGTCCACGTCTAAGTTACTGCTGTTGACTGAACTCTTTGTGAAGAAAACAGGGAAGCAGATCAGAAGTTAACAGGCAGGGGCTGGGGGCAAGAGGGAAAGGGCCTGTGGAGTTAACTACCTGGTGAGTTTCCAGTGTCTGGGCCTCCAAGTGTACACACACACAGCTCTGCCATTGGGGCTTCTAGAAGACTCCATCCCCCCTCCCATCTACTCCAGCAGTCTCTCACACCGGCTCATTTTCTCCTTTGCTTAATCCAGGCCCTGGACCCTTGGAAACCACGTTGGCAGAGCCCACAGCGAACATGCCTCCTCAAGTCCATTTGCATGCCTCAGAGACCAAAGGCTCCCACAATCAAATTTTCACAAGTGTAGGCCTGCCAACTGTCCACTCAAACACTGGTCTCAATCAGCATTTCCATTTCCTTTCCACGGTCCAGGCTTCAGAAGAGAAAACAGTTTTAGATTGTATCTTATTGCTGTTCTCTTCCTCGGTCCTGCCTGGTCACATGTACCATCTCCACAAGGCCTTTTATCCAGTCAGCAAGACAGCTTTGGGTTTGAAGACTCCAAAGAATACGTAAACAAACGCATCCTTGGAAGGGAGGGGGCGGGGCAGGCAAGCTTCTGTGGCCAGATGCACTGGGCCATACGCACTCGTGTAGAGCTCGGAGGTCCAGGTTGGGTACCTTCCTGTAACACTCTCCCCACCTCGATAGGGGATGCGCTTCTGTAAATATGTTTCTCTTATTCGCTGGTAAATGAAACACTGCTTGGCCAACAGAAGCGGGAAGGAAGGCGGGACTAGGAGAGGAGGAGAATTCTGGGAAAGATAGGCAGAGAGAGACCGCAAGGAGATGCCGTGTAGTGGAGGAAGGAGTAACAGGACCGCACCCTTCTCTGGTAAGGTAAGACCAGGTGGAAATACTTCGATTAATACAAATGGGTTAGTAATTAAGTCAGAGCTGGCCAATACAAAGCCATAGCTATTGGCCAACCGTTTTATAATTAATATAGTGGTCTGTGTGCTTATTTGGGCCTGAAGGACCAGGCTGGCAAGGAAACTCCGGCAACACCACCTTTTTTTTTTTTTTTTTGAGGGTCACTCACTGACTCACTGAACCTGAAACTTGGTGGCTGGCCAGAGAGTTGGCTGGGGATCTGCCTGCCTCACCTTCCCCTCCTAGATGCTGAGGTTATAGATGTACACATCAGTGGTTCCAGCTTCTGTGCGGGCGCCGAGGACTCAGAGAGTTCTCCACACCCATTCAGTAAGCACTTAACTCACTGAGACTTCCAACTGTGTCTGAAGTCTGTAGGAAGATTCTGCTCACACTTAACATGTGGATGAACACACTCTTCACACCAGGCAGGGTAACCCCAACATGGGATCCCTCCACCCCATGGCTACCCTCATGGGAAGGGTTCAGGAGACCATGCTGTCCTGGCTTCCCTCAGACAGCCCAACACAGGACACAGTCAACAAGCTCAAGACTCATTTATCATTCTGCTTCTCCACCCTCCATCTGACAAGAGGCCATACTGGCTAATGTGCCATATTCAATGACTCCAAACCCCTCAAGACCCCATTTGGCTGCACGATATCCACTTAAGGAACACAGTCACTGTCAAAGGTCAAAGCTCTCTGGGGTTTGAACCTACGTCCAATGCCCTTGAGATACCAAATGCAAGCTCTCAACAGACCATTCCCGCCTCTGCTTAATTCATTATGACTTTCAGGTACTCAACAGGATGGGTCTCACACACTCAGGATCCTGTTTGCCGTGAAAGTAGACCTGGCTGAGTCTACTTATCTGGTAAATGAATTAGGGAAACTTGGTCAAGATAGAAGACTTTTCTCATACTCTTCAGGGGAGTTTAGACAAGAATGGCCTTGCTGTTCCAAAGGTGGTATGGCAGCACAGGGGGCATGGGTGGGGGGAGATTCTGGGATGACCTCAGACTTCCTTCAGTATTGCAGACCGGAGAACGGGGCATCACTTACACCAATGGCCTCATTCTACCAAGGAGAGATGAATGACGACACAGCATTGGACAGGACTCTGTGCCAAGCCCCGCATGTAGCTCACTGCAATTCTGAAATTAAAATGGAAATGGCCCTTATCTATGGGGTAGGTCATACCCTTCCAGCCATCAGTGGGAAGTGGTGTTCTCATGGCAGGCATCAGGAAGGAGGTACAGAGGTCAGGCTCCCAGTACCCCATCAGCATACCCCATCTCAGCCCCTCCACAACTGCTTCCTTGAAAGGCTGTCCACGCATCTCTCTCTCTCTCTCTCTCTCTCTCTCTCTCTCTCTCTCTGTCTCTCTCCCCCTCCCTAAGAGAGTCTTTTATTCCAGATTTTGAATGAAATTTACCAGAAAATTCAAGAGAACACAAAGGTCTCAGAAACCAACTTATAGCTCCATATCTTAGTCTCAAGCACGTGCACACGTGTGCAGCACATGCACGCACACGCTCGCTCACGTACACAAACACACACACACACAGGGTAGGGTCCGAGAGGGAGGGAAATTTTTCCTCTAAACCAAAAGACTGAAATGAAAGATCATGTGTAGAAAGTGCATCTTAAGCCTCATGTATCTATGGAGGACCTATCCAGGTGGAGCTTGCTAAAATTCAGCTTCTGATTCAATAGTTTGGATGCAACCTGAGATTCTAACTTCCACGTTAAAGATGCCAGTCTGTGCCGAGAACTGGTTAGATGGGGGGGGGGGAACCAAGCCTTACAATCAAACAAAATTGGCTTTGAATTCTGCTTCTTACATTTAGTAACTCTGTGATCACCTGCTGGTTCCCCACTATCCCTGTGCTTCAATCTGCTCATCTACAGACGGGAAACAACACCTAACACACACGTGACGGTGTGAGTTAGTGATAAGACACTCCCGACACAATGCTTGGCATATTGTAAGGGCTCGGGAAACATCAGCAGCTGCCTGTAAGATTCACAAGGACCAGGATGACAGCTGGCTCACTGCCAGAACCACAACGAGAACACAGTAGGTGTCCAACGGATATGTGGCCAATGAGTGCACATAAAACACACACAGTATCAGTATGTTCATCCTCCCTTGGTTCTGTGCCTCTTTTTTTTGCATAAAAGCCTAAAGCATCTAAAAATACCAGAAGATTCTCATCAACCAGCCATCATCTCACAGGATCATATTCAACACTAACCATCTTGTTTAACCACCAAGACATGGGTAATTTGTGGTGGTTATATGTACTTGAGAAATGCCTCTACTGTAAATAAAGACAGCACCAATCTGGAGTCTGTATTTCATTAGGAGAAATTGCTGCCTGGCTTATTATATGAGGGCTGTCTCATGCAGATGTTAGAGAGAAGAAGAAAAAAAAAAACCAAACCCAACCAACCAACCACTTAATTCTCAAACTTCGGTTCACTTCCAAACCAAATTCAGTGGGAAGAAATGCGGACAAATAGCAGAGCTTCGGCTTTTAAATCAGAGGCAGTCAAGTCAGTCTACCCGCAATTCCTCAACGGTTCAAGGACGTCTCTACTGTTCCCTGAAGACAGTGGTGTCATGAGAACAAACCGCATCCCGCAGAGGCACTGTTGTATGGTATGCGGCAACATGGGTTTGGCTGCCACCTCCAGACGGAAGCAGCGTTCCCTTTGCCAAGAGTTGGCCAATCATATTTTACTGTTTTTAAACCAACTCAGTCACCGCCCTCCAGGCTTCTTCCAAACCGCCACAGCACATTACTTCATTGAGAACTACTCCACTCATAGATGCACGTCGCTAGGCACTCCGCCACCTCCTCCTCACCACCTAGCTTCTGATTTCCCAGAAGCCCTCCGTCATCCTATTACAGTACGTGGGTAGCCCAAGAGAAGGCCAGCCAACAGAGTCAAAGCTGGCGAAGGAGATGCAGTTCAAGTATAAATCAGCTTACCTGATATGAACGGGACTGCCCGGAATATATCTGACAACCTGCTGTTAACTGGCTCATATGGGGAATCTTCCAGTAGATCATTTCCTAGAAATGACAGGAAGGTTAGGCTCAGCTCTGGAAAAACGCACATCTCAGACAGCGTTTTTGACTGCTCAGTTGGAACCCCTAATCATGCTACGACTGTGTACCGAGAAGATGCCAAAGCCCCCACCCCCAAAGATTTCACATGCATGTCTGGGGACGTGATTTTTCTTTTTTCAGCCCCTCTGCCTTTGTTGTCCTTGATCTCCCCAGAGCGCCTTGAAAATACTGGAACACAACACAGCCCTGGCTTGCCAGAAAACTCTCCCACTCTTTGCAAAGGAACTGAAATCTGAGAGGAAAGAGCCAGTGACGTCACAAGCCTTGCTTGCCTCCAGGAACCAATGGAAGAAGGGTGACCTAGGAGAGGCCCCTATTTCTGTGAGCTCCCCAAACCAAGGCATGTGGCCTGCAGTTGGGATCATCCCTTAAAAACAAAACAAACAAAAAAGAAACGGTTTTCTCGACTGGGTTTTAGAAGTTCCAGCTCCCTGTGTTCAGGGAGTCTCAGGGAAGGATGAAGACGGGGGTCCACTTGGTACACTTACAGACTCCCTAAGTCCCATTGGAATGGGCACTTTGTGACCCCTACTTTTGGGCTAACCGTGGTTAAACCTCAACAGCTGGTCCAAAACTCAACTAATCTAAGATGACAAATATCATTTTCACATGTGTGTTTGAACCGGTGTCCGGTGCGAGGGGGGAGCGGGTGAAGACGGAGCAGAGTTCGCTGGCTCTGCGATGCTTCTTCATCTCATGTCGTAAGGGAAGAGGGGGGGGGAATTCCAGGCAAGATACAGACTGGCTTTTGCACAGTTACCATCTAAAGCTAGTGAAAGCCCCAGACTGGCAGAGATGTGGGTTCCTTGGGCAGCGTTTAAGAGGTCCCTACTCTGATGTTCTGACTAGGTTTCAAATAGGTCGGTGGGATCCTAGGGGTGCAAGCCCCTGGCCCCGGCCCCCTCGCAGATCTTCCAACAACCAGCTCCAACAATAGTGCTCAGCTGCAGCAAACACCAGCTGCCGCTGTCCCTAGGGGCCAATGAAAGGTCCTCATTCCGCAGCTGGGAGAACCGAGTGGAAGATGAGATCAGCCGGCTTAACCCCAACCCCGACTGGACTGAGGTTGCCTCCTGACTTCGGAGAGGCGCCCCCCCCCGGCATGCTGGTGGGGGCGGATAATGCATACCCTGTAGGCTCTGGTACATGCTCCAATAGATGCGTAGACAATTCTTCTCCTTCTTCATGCCCCGTTTGCAGCGGCAGTTGTAGAGAGACTTTTGCTTCAGGGCCTCCATGGCGCTGCGGCACTCGTCCTTGGCCTCGAGACCGGATGCCAGGCTGAAGTTGGTTTCCTTGCCCGCCACGCACTGCCTTAGCGTGCGGTACTTGGTGCTGCAGCTCTGTTCCTTCAGGCACTGATCGCTGGCTTTCACACAGTCCAGCCGGTCCCCAACACTCATCTCGGCCGACAGAAGCAAATCTACGGGGTGAATGGAAGAACGCTTCAGCGCAGGAAGACCAGTGGGGACCCCAATTCCAGATCCCAGGAGGGGCGGGAGAAGGGGTGTACGTCTGGAACATGATAGCTCCACCATCGTTGCCATAGGCAGGCTACATAGGAAGCTCGTCTACCCCTCTTGTGAGAGACCATTTTCACACCCCTGGGACTGCTGCCATCATCCCTTCCTGGCCCACCAAGGAAGGTAGTAACAGCTTTGGCTGGCCGCCTTTGCGGGATTTGCTGAGGATCCTGCAGCCCCAGCGTCCTAAAGCACAAGCGGTCCTGAACCGCTGGCTGCCCCGCCTCCCTGGGCACCTGGGGCTGCAGAGTTTCCCGGCCAGCCAGACCGCGGTGGCAGCCCAAGGGCCCTCCTCCGAACGGCGGGCGCCGTGGAGCGCTTGGCTTCGGTCGCGAGCTGGGCGAGAGGCAGGCAAGTGGCAAGTCTGCCCCGCGGGTAGGCTGAGACGTTAGTCCCAGAAAAGTTTCCATTCTAAGTTTGCTCCCTCCGACCCCAATGTTTTCCGACCACACTCCACCTGCCGGAGTGCCCCAGCGAGCTCTCTGCGACTTCCAAGGGGACCAACGCCCCGGGATGAAGGTCTCAGACCCATCAGATCCCCATCGGGCTGGGTTATTGTTTTAATTACTACTATTTTAACACAGCAGATAAAACCAACCGCGCAAAGGTTGCGCTGCCACCGCTTCCCAGGCCCAGGGACCCTCGAACCTTTCACCTCCCCCCCCTCCGACGAAACTTTGCACCCACATCCACGACACCCACGCCGCAATTCTGGAGTGGCCGCTGCAAGGGACCCTCTTTGAAAGACTCTGGGGTTGGGGGGAAGCCACCGGCAGCCTCGACTTACCCAGAAGTGGCAGCGCGAAGTACAGAGTGGCCAGGAACATGGTGCCGGCGCGCAGCTGGTCCCCGCCCCCCAAAATCCAAAGCCGCCGCTGGGTCTCGCAGGGAGAGCTCAGCGTGCAGCGATCCTCGGGCGACCGCGCTGCTCTGGCCACTCTAAGTTCAGCTCCATCCAGGGCGAGAGAAACTCCCCGTCGCTCTGCTGCCCACCACCGCCAGCGACTCAGCCCCGGGCGGGCGGGAGGGCGGGAGGCGGGCCCGCTTTTAGGGGTTCAGTTCCGACGCAACCTGGAAAGGAGAGAGCCCTTTGAAATGAGAGCCCAGAGTGCTGAAACCTCCCGCTCCCACCCCTCCCCTCCCCCTCTCCCGCCTTGGGGGACTTCCTAACGCTACCCCCACTCGGGTCGGAGAGCGGGAGGTGCGAGTGCGTATATTCCGGGCGTGGGGAGGCTCCGGAACCCGCGGTTTGGGGCTGGAGAGGTTCCCAACGTCCAGAGCCCGGGGCTATCCCGCACAACCCAAGAGGCTGAACGCAAGCAAATAAATAAGCATTACTTTCCCCGAGCAAGCACCGGAAGCAAGCTGGCGCTGCCCGGAGTTGGAGCCTCGGCGGGCGGCGAAAGCTCCTTAGCCAGCCCCAGCTGGACCGAGACCCTGCTCCGGGAAGTTGGCCGCCGTTCCTGGCTCCTGCCCGACCACTGGCTGGCTCGATCTCCAGCGTTCTAGCTCCCCTGCCCCTGGCCCTCTGCACCCCGACCACCAATCGCCACCTCCGTCGCCGACACCCCAGTCCCCGGGCGAGCCTCTTCTCCCCAGGCAGTCCTGCAAGAAGAAACTGACATCCCGCCTGGAGCTGTTAACCCGGCTTCTGCCTCTATCCCTACCCGACGCGCACCCTGGGCTCCTTCCCAGACATGGGTGCCTCACACGCACTTGCCCAGCGTCCGAACTCCTGCGCATCCACACCGCTGCCCGGGGAGAGCGAGCTAGCCCGCAGCATCTGCATGCCCCAGCAGGTGCAGCCCCGCACCACTAGCGCCCCCCTGGCCCCAAAGTTGGAGAATGCCAGCAAGATGGAAAGGGGTGGCTGGAGCTGGACGGGTGCTCAAGTGGAATGAGAAAACTCTAGATGCCACCAACCTGGACTGAACTGACCGGCGTCCGGCTGCGGCGAGTAGCCGGTGTTTATTTATTTATTCTTTCGGGGTGACCCGCCCCCTCTTTCCTTTTCCGGGCTCACTTTCTCGCGCTAGCAAAAGAAGATGCCATAATCTGCTACAGCTCAAGAGGACGGAGTTGGCCAGGATGATTTCCGAGCAGATGCCCCCCCCCACACACACCCTGCTCCGCCCCGCCCCGGCCCGCCCCGGCTGGATGCCCGTTAGGGATGTCAGCGGTTATTGGAAGCAGTGGGAGGGTAGTTAGCTTGCCCAGATTGGTTTTGGCCAAAGGAGCCTCAGCCTGCTTCTGCTCCAGCCGCGGCAGCCTGCGCAGAGCCAGCTCCTCCTTGAAGTGCAGCTCCACTGTCGGCCACAGCAGGCTTACAGGCGGCGGTTGGATGCAAAGCCAACAGGCACACACAGGCTCAGGACCCGCAGCGCTACGCAGCCGCGGCCAAGACTGCACCCCCCCCCTTCAGTGCACAAGGGCTCTTTATTTAGTACAAAACACCAATCCATCCAGACCCCTGTGAACACAAGTTCTCTCTCTCTCTCTCTCTCTCTCTCTCTCTCTCTCTCTCTCTCTCTCTCTCTCTCTCTCTCTCTCTCTCTCTCTCTCTCTCTCTCTCTCTCTCTCTCTCTCTCTCTCTCCACGTCATTCCCGGCTGTGACTCAAGACTTGGCATGTTCACTCAGACCTAAGTCCTGAGCAGTCATCTTGGGATGCACCCACGCAAGTGTGATCTTACTCCCCCTCTCTTCCCCAGTTCGGACAGCGAGACAAAGCAAAGCTTCCCAGCCCACTGCACCCAAGTGTGGTCAGACCCAGTTTTGGGTACTCTATAAGGTGACCTCCATCTTGACTGTTTCAAGAGTAAATTCCACCCCCCCTCCGCCCCCAAACATCGTATAAGCAGAACACATCCATAGTCCCCCAACCCCAACTTCAAGAGTCGCTCCGGTGAGGCTGCTGCAGTAACACCCGATGTCCCTTGGGTTCCAGAGATTTTTAAAGTACACTCTGCTGTGGTGGGTGACCAGCTCCCTGCTTCTATTGGAGATCTTTTTCTGTGTTCAAGTTCGTCTCTCAGGAAAACCGAGTCTGAATCAAATCTATGAGCCCAGCTGTTAAATCTGCAAACCCATCACCACAGACAATGGGCCGCCAAGAAGGACAGAAAAGAAAAGCTCTTTTTGATCCAGGGGGTTAATTGAAAAGGGCACGGGGCTTTAGTTTAAGTTTGAGACCAGGTGTAAGGGCAGGGAAAAGAGGAGGAGGGATGGGTCGCTCTCCGTTCGCACACACACCAGCCAGGCGTGCCTTTCAGCTGTGGTGGCTGCCAGTTTGACGCTGTGCATTGTTTGAAGTCCTCAAAGGGTGTCTGCGCCTTAGTGAGCCACCCAAACCCAGGGGACATCCCGCCAGTCCTAGCTCCTCCTTTGCTCTGCACGTGCTCCTCAGGGGCAGGTATGAAGTGGCTGGCGCCTTCATCGGGGATCCCTACCCCCAGCATCGCATTCAGTCACAGCAGACACAGATTTCCAGTTCAATGTATCAGTTTACACTCGGTAGTTGAGTAAACAAAGAAAGCATATGTCACATTTTCTCGACAGATGGTTCAATCCAAGGGCTACTTAAGTTTTTTTCTCTAGTGATAGAAGTTTGCAGCGTGGACGACTGCGGGGAGATGTAATTGAGTCTTCCCATCAGTGTCTCTGCTTACGGAAGCATATTTCCATATTTTCACACCAAGGCAAAAATCCCGGGGAGGTGGATTTTAATGAGAAGATGTATCTCAAGATTCCCATGGATACTCAAAAGGTAAAATCGTTTTCCCTTGTTCTATTTCATAAGTGAAAGGTAAAGTCGTTCTCTGTCAAGTCAGGGCTTGCCTTTGGGGACCATTTGGGGTGGCTAAAAACATTTAGGGTTTTTTTTATGAGACAGGGTTTCTCTGTATTGTTTTGGAGGCTGTCAGTCCAGCCCAGCCTCGAACTCACAGAGATCATCCTGCCTCTGCCTCCCGAGTGCTGGGATTAAAGGTGTGCGCCACCACCGCCTGGCTTAAGTCTCATTTAAGACATCAACCGTGTGTTTCCCAACTATCCCTTGTTTGGAAAATACTTGCTTATTCTACTTATTCTACAGAAGTTTCAAAATTCTGCTTTGAACAGGAAGGAGGAAGTCTGATCTAAAAGTTCTCCAAATGTGGGATATAGGGCTCCTTCTAAAGTAGTTACAGCTTCAAGAATATTTCAGGCCCCTTCCTCACTTTAGCCTTTAACAAAATGACATAAAACAGACCTTTAGGGTTTGGTTTTGAAGGTGTGTGCGTGTGTGTGTGTGTGTGTGTGTGTGTGTGTGTGTGTGTGTGTGTGTGTGTGTTCCCAGTCATGAAGGCCAGAGGAGGGCATCAGATCCCCCATAGCTGGGAAGTCACAATTTGTTGGAAGCCTCAACATGGATGCTGGTGATCAGACTCAGGTCAAAAGCAGCAAGCACTCTTAAGGGCTGAGCCATCCCTCCAGCTCTTTGTTTAGAATGATAATAGTAACAAAATGATAAACACTACTAGCTGCTACAACTATGTTGACCAACAGTTGGTGTTGGTGCCATGAATTTAATTAAAAAGAAACATGGTAAGTATGGTCATTTCTCAGTAGCACTAATCAAATGGCCACAAGTGGCAGTGGTTATCCTGTCTGATAACACGAAACACTTCCATGGTCACAGGAGGATCTAGGGGACAGTGCCACCTGTCAAGGCTGCTGCCAAATTAGTGGATGTGGCTTCTATATCCAACAACAGATCAGCACAGGCATCCACTGAGTGCTCTATAAGCAGTGGTGCAGTGAGAGTTGTGAGGGTAATGGTGGTGGTGGGGATGATGGTGTTGGTGGTGATGGTGGTGATTGGTATCTGTGGTAGTGGTGATGATGGTGATGGTGGGTCTGATGGTGGTGGTGGTGTTTTGCTTTTCTCTTGAGGAAGCTGAGGAACTCTACAAAGACCCAGTCAGTTCCTGGTATGTTCTCCACGCAGGATGAGGTCAGAGGTAATGAAGAAAAGAAGAGGAACGGCCATGACAGATTCCATCCTACAAGGAAAGCTGTAGATAGAAAGATGTGTTTCTAGCTTAAGACTGCTCACAGTAGGACCCAACAGGGAAGCCACCCCCTCACTGTATATTAACATTAAAGGTGAGACATATTGATGGCCACGAAGCCTTTGGAATACGGAAAATAGCTATGACATATTCGATCGATACTGTTTCTTTGGAGCTTATCTGTCCCCATGTGCATGGGACATCTCAGGGCGAAAGGTGACATTGAAATATCAAATATTAATCATTATAAAGGTTCATACAATCCTTTGTGACATGTTTTCTAGGTGGAAAATTGGTTTTAATGCTACAGAATTAGGTTCAGTCCACCCATGAGCATGTGAAGTGAGCAGTCTTCTTGTGTTTCCTGACGTAAGTGTATTTTCATAAGTTAACAGATGAGTCACTATGAAAATGACAGTTTTATCTCGTGTGGCATTTTGCCTCTTACTCTCTTTGCCTTTGTCCTATAGAGCGTAGTGTGAAATATATTCATTCCCTAAAATTATACCGCTCAAAAGTTATTCAAGTTTTTTTTTTCATTCAAGCTATTTCATCGTCTGACATTAGACGGTTTGACAGGCTCGACTCCCCCGCCACCACAAAACACTCACCGAATGAATGGGCCCTGCTTTTGTTTATCTGTTCCTTTGGTGTTTACTGTGATCTCCTGGCCTGTTCTCCCACATTTGCCCATGAAATCCTACATCTAACGTTTTCGAGGGTCAGTTTAGCTAGACAGGAACTCATAGTTCCACGCCATTCCATCAAACAGCACACACACCCCCACTCCCACCCCTGCCGACACCTGGAATCTCTATTATGTCTGTGGTGACAACTGTCTCCTAGTTTGGTGCTCCAACTGTCTCCTTGACTGGACTGTGAGCTCACTGAAGGCAAGGGATTATTCTAGACCTCATGTCCGCGTCCCCAGCGTTTTGACTCATGACTGACGCACACCCATTCCCAGTGAATGCACCATTGATTGCATGAATAATGCGTGGTGCTGCTCCTCATTTTCCTCTGACACCATAATTTTACAGAAAGATTTACATGAAAATCCCCTTACTGTATGAACAATACGAAATGTAAGTACCTCATACGATTACTGGTATTACGGTTCCAATAATAGTATCAGATATGTATTATTCCTTTGGGGATTTGACATTTAAATTTTTTTAAACAAAAACCATTATTATAATAGAACGTTCTCTTTTTTCCCTGCTTCACTTTAATAGTAAAATATGACATATTTCATTTCTGGGAAATGATAGCTTGCCTTAGGTCATATTTTAAGGCATAAAGCCAGAAGCAGAGTAACATTCCCACCTGAAGTCCTCTAATCATCTAGAAATGTACCTCTCTCTGGGAGAAGGGCCAGAGCCCAACCACCCTGGAGCCTTCATCTTCAAAGGCAAAATTTTTAAAAGCCAAATTGGCTCAGAATTATTTTTAGAGAAACAACTCGGCGAACACAATCGCAAGCCCTCTTGCGATCCTTTAGGGGAAATGAGAAAATGCTGATCACCCAAAGCAGAAAGCTGGCTGAGGGTCTCCACGCTGGTAAAACTCTCACCCTCTGAGCTGCTCTTCGACCTCCGCCCTTTGGTGGTACGGGAAGAGGCAGCTGCTCTCAGGCCGCAGAGCCCTTTTCTAGGAGGCATAGATGAAGCTGTGTCTTTTGAACATTATTTGCAAATGGAAGTTCCTTATAGGCTGTCAGGGTGCCTGACCCCTGGGAACCTATCTTAGGACATCTTCCTTCCTCCTCCGTTTTCAGGTAATTTTCATTTCTTAGTACTAATAAGTCAGTGGCCAGGGTTTTAATGCATTTATGGAGGAATATTCCTGAGAGTTGAAGTCATTTGTGCTTTGGCCTCTTGCCACAAAATGCATAAGGTGCGCAGCCCTGATGAAATAAAGTGCCTGTCATGTCTTATTGCTTCAATATATGGCAAAATATACCCCATCTTCAGAGGACTTGCAAGGATTTTTTCTCCTGATTGCCAAAGGTGTTGGATTAAAAGCCTTGTGAATTTCAGCCCTCTTTATCAAGAC